GGTTCACGGCCCCACTTGCGGCCACTGCGCTACCTAAGCTCCCTGCACAAGACCCATACAAAGCAATCTGTAAAACCCCAGCATAAAAGGACTCAACCATCCCAAGAATTGCACGGTGCACATGCAGATATCTAACTGACCGTCAGAGACAAAAATAGTGGACAATCTTTCTCTCATTAGCTTCTCGATATCTACCTGTGCACCTCTACTGTAGTGACTAGAGGAGGGTGAGCGAGTGGACACCTTGATCGAGCGGACTCGCCTAAGCGAGCGGACACCCTCACCCACTGCTGGAGGCTTCTAACTGCACATACACTGCCTGTGTAGCTCAGGACAGTTGACCACAGCTTCATTTCTGTTCCAAAGTGGTGGCTTTTGTCTCTGCATTTATATTACTTCTGCTTTGGGGCCTTTTGATCACACATCTTTCCTGGAGGTGGAAGCTTTTTCTCCCTACATTACCCAAGAAGAGATAGCAGTAGTGTCCATGTAGCCAAGCTATAAGCATACCCCATAATATTCCACCACTGAGACAAGAGCCAACAATACCTGATAAACATTACATGCAAAAAGGGAAGCCTGTCTCCCACTCATATTCTCCAGGACACCCAGTAAGCTTAACAACAAACATTCACTTAAGCTTTAAAAAAACCCAAAAACATAACTATTGAAAATGACGAACAAAAGCCAACAAACAATATTGAAACATGTCCAAAAATAGAAGAGAGTAGCTGAGACAAATGAGCTGGAGACAGACAAAGGCTTTCTAGAGGAGGAAGAGCAGGTTTTGGATATGCCTGAGAAAGAATTCAAAAGAATAATATGGAAACAAATTCAAATGCTCCAAAAAGGCATGGAGGAAAACAAGGAAAAAATTAGGAAAGTACTACAGGAGCAATCAAATAGGATACAACATTGGAAACAATTCAAACCCTGCAAGAAGATGTCCAGATGATTAATAATAAGATAACAGAACTGGACAATACACTGAAAGGGGAAAGGAGCAGAATAGAAGAGATAGAAGCCAGAACTAGCGAGCTAGAAGACAAATCTCTCAATACTGCTAAGATAGAAAAGCAAGTGGAAAAAAGGATGAAAAAATTTCAAGA